CCAAGCTACGAACTCGTCAAAGAGACAAGTGAAGTCAATCCCTCGACAAACGTTCTGCCGAGAACAGAAAGAGGAGTGATAGTGTAACCGTTTTTTTGTTTCTGTGACGAGTTCGTAACTTGGGGCGGAGAATGGCAAGGCTCACTGATGATGCCGACTACGATGCCGGCGAAACGTTTGAGAATGTACCAAGTCCACTTTCTGATTCTGGAAATCAAGACGACTTCTGACTAGTTGCGTTCTACTAAGTCGCCTTGACAACAGGACTAAGTTGTCACAACGAGTTCAACCCACTTCTAATATCGATGCTGTTGTGAATGAGGCACGGTCAAATCAAATGATCTACATCCCCTCTCTTCCTAATACTGTCTATCCTATGCAAAAACGGCCGTCTTCCATTCTACACATTCTACATCTCATATTACACATTTTGAGTCATTCGATTTCGCCTCAAGTTACCTATGCGACGTATCGCCTTCAAGTAAGCCCAAAAGCCGCCCCCTCTACACTTTAAAGCAACATTCCCATTTCTGCAGTATAACATCTACACCATAGTCTGGTCATTCAACCTGTCGAGCACTAGTTATCAGAACATACTTCAGTTGTTGTAGCACAAAGTGACCAGTGGGTGCTATCAATAAAGGCAGATATTTACCACACAAAATGTTGAGGGTTTTTTGTCCTAAATTGTCCATCAATCATATGGCTATTCCGAAACTTGCCATATAATTTTTCTCATAATGGCATCTACAAGTTTGCCGCCTCGAGGTACTCGCACAGTAATTGTGGTATAAGATAGGTCTTAAAAATCGCGTCTGCCCTATTACCAATTGGCATCCGTGCCTGTATGGTGTAAAGGCAACTTGTGCATAATATACGCCACCTTTTGCGACCTAAGATGAATACAGTTCATATTCAAGATATGAAATCCTACACAATATGAATATAAACATATACATTTCCCAAATTAGTTAGTAGTTTTGGTAGTAGATTGTAGAAGAGTTTTTTTTTCTTGGTTATTGAATCTGTGTCATATCTGTCAATCGGCATTTCAAGGCCTGCAAATTGCGCAGACCATGCAAATTTGCAGAGATTTGACCTCGTTTTTTCTACTTGGTCCTGTTGTTTGGGCGATTTAGTTGGAAACACCCTGTCCGAAGACTTCTGTCATTTTAGTTATGATAATACCAAACGTATGACTGTGGACTTGTTGCATTGCCAGAATTTTCCTCGGAATGATAGTCGTTATCGTCAGTGTCTTTTGCCATTCTTAGCGCCTAACTACCTCTTGTCCAAGAGACAATTGAAGTTTATCACTTGATCAACTT